TGTCCCTCACGTGTCCCCTGACCCCGCTGTCCCCCGGCATTCCCGTGGGACCATCCGTTGTTGTGTCCCGGAGCCGTTCCCAGCTCCCGGTGGGATGTGGCTGTCCCTGTCCCTGTCCCCCAGGGAGGGGACACGGAGGTGGCGATGGGGACAGGAAGGACGGGGCTGGATGTTCCCAGGCTCGGCGGTCACCAGGGAATGGGGCGGGGAGGGATGGGGTTTTAGGATTGGGGATTGGGGGATGGGATTCATGGAATGGGATCCATGGGATGGGATGGAATGGGATGGGGATTTGGAATGGGATGGGGTCAGGATGAGATGGGAGAGAATTGGAATGGGATGGGAAGCAATTAGGATGGTTTGGGGTGAAACAGATGGGGTGGATTTGGGATGGGATGGGATGGGATGGGATAAAATGAGATTGGAATGGAACGAGATGGAATGGGAAGGAATTGGGATGGGATGGAATTGGGACGATTTGGGATGGAATTGGGATGAGATAAAATGGGATGGGGATGGGATGAGATGGGATGGAATTGGGATAAAAGGGTTGGGATGGGACAGAATTGGGGTGGGAAGAAACTGGGATGGTTGGGATGATTGGGATGGGATGGGATGGGATGGGGTGGGATGGGAATTCTCGGGCCATCCCCTCGCTGTCGCTGTCGCTGTCGCTGTCGCTGTCGCTGTCGCGACTCAGCCCCTGCCCCGCCCCTCCCCGTTCCCATGGCAACGCCCCCGTGTTCCCCGCCGCCCGCAAGGGGGCGCCCCGCCTCGCGAGAGCCCTCCTCCCATTGGCTGCTCCGCCCCTAGCCCCGCCCCCTAGCAACAGTCCCGCCCCTTAGCAACGCCCGGGAAGCTCAGCGGGGGGGCGTGCCCTGAAGGCGTGACCGGCGTGGGCGCCCACCAATSAGAACGCGAGGCGGGGGCGCGCCGGCCAATAGGAGCGAGGGGGCGTGTCCCGGCAGCGGGAAGCGGGCAGCGGGAGCGGCGGGGTGAGCGGGGCATGGCGACAGCGGGGGGACATCGGGGGACATCGGGGGGAAATTGGGGGACATCGGGGACACCCGGGGGGGCGCGGAGGGACCGGGGCGGCCCCGCGGAGGCGCTGCCGGGCCCCGAGCGGTGGCGGAGGTCACACGCGGCGGGGAGCGCTCGGAAAGGGGGGGACAAACCCGACCCCGCTGTCCCCTCCCGGTGTCCCCTCCYGGGGTCCCCTCCCGCTGTCACCCCCGTGCTGAGGTTCGGCGTCACCTCCCCCCCGGCCCCGTGCGGCTCGGGACGCCCCAAATCCCGGGATTTTCCCTCGGGGAGCTGCTCCCCCCTTTGAGCTCGGTTTTCTTTCATCCCGTTTTGCCCGATTTCGGTGGTTTTTTCCACGCATTTCGCGGATTTTCGTTGGCGCTGCCGCGCACCCCAATTCCTGCCGGCATTCCCGGCCCGGTTTTCCCGCGGGGCGATCCCGGGGAGCGGATCCCACCCTCCGGGACGGTTTTTTGGGAATGTCGCATCCCGAATTCCCGGCCGGCGCTGCGATCCCCGTGCCCATCCCGGGAAAACCCATTTGGGACGGCTCCAAATTTTGGGATCGGCGCTGCCGCTTCCAGCCTGGGGGGAAAATCCCAAATCTGGGAGCCGGTTTTTTTGGGGGGGGGGGAGGGGAAGGGGAAACTGAGGCACGCGATGGGGTCGTGGGAAGGAGGAAATTCCCTCTTTTCCCGGAGGTTTGGGATGAGGGAATGGC